GTATCTTCATTTTTACCGCGGCAGCGTATGCGAACTATAATTTTTTAAGCCGTTTTTCTCGAGTCTGCAATTTTTAATCCGATCAATTTTTAACTTAATCGCTCGGAATCATCCATTTATCTTTTCTCATCATTTCATGGGAAATATGCAAACTACATATGTATGTATGTATAAAAAGAGCTGTATTAGGGGGCTCTCCGTAGGATTTGTCAAACTATGTAGGCGGTAGTAGTCACATTCTTTTTGCGGTTCCCTCTTCATGAAACAATAAATTTTGGTATCAATTTACCACAGCAAGCCTGGTAGGTTAGGCCTGGTAAGACTGGCTGGTTTTGTGAAAGCTCTACATAGACGAATTACTAGTCCATTGTGTGACCAGATTAAACGACCTTTCATGATGAGTAAGTGGACCATAGTTACGGTGACCATCCGTTCTGTTTTTTGCAGGACCGTACTGTTATTTAAAGGTCTGTCCTGCGTAGTTTTTCAAAACAGAAAACCCCCAAAATGTACTGATTTTTTCCAAGTGTCCTGCCTTTGTCCCGCATTTTCTTCGATATTTTAAAAATAACTTTTCCTAATCGAAATAAAAGCAGTGTCGATAACTAATTGATAACTACATAAGGGTAAGCTGGTTTTGAAGGTTCAACTAGTCAATGCGTCCTAAATATTGTACGGTTATGGACAATGGATGACGAGAAATTGAAGACCAGCGTCAAATGTATCGATAACACTGTTCTACAAATTTTGTGTAATCGCTTAAGAAAAAAATGTTTTCCAAGCCAATTTTCCTTTCAAACAAGCGTTTTCGTAATTTTTTCGAAAAACGTGTTTTTGGTACATTTCGAATTTATTCGTCAATATCTCATGAAAAAATTATCCAATCAACATAAGCGACCTACAGTCCTCTTACAAAAATATATTACTTTGCCGATTTCGACGAAAATTATTAGTGCTACAAGCGACCAAAATCAAAAAATTGAAATTTCAATCATTATCTTTTTACAGTAAATGAAAATCT